TAATTGTAAGAGACTGAAACCATGACCCAAGAATAAAAGTCGTGAAAATAAATCAATTTATAAAAGTTAACTTTGCATACTGAGCCCAAATAAGGCTCTCGCTACTCTCTAAAAATAAACTATTACAGAGTTAGATACAAATTGAAACGTTAAAAAATTCATCATTCTAAAAGTACTAAGTATATCTCATAAAAGCGAATATTGAGTCCAAACACATTTTTACATATTGATATAGCATATAGCATAGAATATTCGTATGGCATAACTAGAAATATAGATTATAATTGCGTATTACTTGCGATTGCGATTGTAGTTATGTTTGTGATTTTATTACTACACTCTACCAATTTATAAGTAAATGTCATAAATAACAACAATAATTATATTAGAATTCAATTCAATCTAATAATTTTTTAAAAGTATTTATTCAGGTGAGTTCAAAATTATGATTTATAACAATATCACTTTCGTTTCTTCGTTTTTTCAACATTTTTTAAAGAAGTAACGTATCTGATATACGTTTATCCATGCACAAGGTTCTACCTTCAATGGATTTTTTTCTTCATTTGAGAATGAATATTATGAAGTTATTTTGATATCTTTATATTTATATTTGTAAATTGGGTCAATAAAACTTGTACTCTAGGATTAAGCCCTATTCCCGAAGCCCCAACATTCGAGTCTCGTGCGACTTGCGGCAGACTCTGCTCCAGGTGTCAGAAACCTCTAAAGCCATCACGCGACTGCGGTAGAGTGAGGTGTTAAACACACCATCCCAGCAGACCTTGATGATTCCCTTATTTTCTGACTTCAGCTCACTCGATCTGAGGAAAGCGAAAGTCGAGTACTCTGGTAAGACGAGGTCTTCCGTGTTTTCGAAGAAGACCCCATTTATTGGCTTATCCTTGTGTTGCCGTAGAAGTGAAGTAATCTCTGAAGCTTTTATATGACCCCCTCGATTAGTGTCGAAAACTAAACCGAGTTCATCAGCCTCTCCTGCAGCAGCTGAGAAATACTCCAGTTCTTGCTCTCTCATGGTTGCGAACCATGCAGGACTTCACAGACTACATCCAGTACTATTCTCTCAACTCAAATGTCTACGGCATCGTTATTCTCGGAAAAAGTACAAACGTGAAACGGACGATTTGGGATACAAACTCCCATGGAGATGCCTGAAGCTGGGAAATGAATAGGTCCAATGAATTCAGCACTTCTCCATTTCAGGCATATATTATTTGGAATAAAAAATGAGATTCAAAACTTCCTATGTACCACTTTGTAACTAACGTTACTGCAGTTTCGTCCTACAAAGATATAATAAAGGATATAAAACTTGTAAATGGAAGAAGCATCCTGTATCGCGGAGATACATACATATATTTCCTTTGGGTGTGGAACAACGCAAGAGGTAGCTTTAGAAGAGAACAATCTCCGTAATGTCTTGTGAAAAAGTAAAGTGTATTCTTGAGGAAATATACTGAGTCGGCATAAAGACTCCATAGATGATGTACATCTATAAAAGTTCGCATCAAGAATCTTCTGTCTAGGGTTATAATTCTCCAGGCAAAAGGAAGGGCGCGTATTCATGGGCACGTAGCGTAATGACGACTTTAAAGTTTGCAGAAGCTTTTAATCAATATCTATATATTGTTTCGAGACCGCGAAACAATTCTCTCAACCCTTAATTACTACACAAAAATTTTGTAACACTAGTACTACGGTGGGTCTTGATGGTGGGTCTTGATGGGTATTAACAAAAGAAAAAAGTCTATACTTTCACACTCTATTTCTAAATAATAATTTTCAGAGAATGTTTTTTCAGCTAAAGTACTTTATTTGGTGTTTTTACCTAAGAGGCACATGTTTATGGCACATTCTTTGCAAATTGTTTTTTTCGAATGTCCTTCATGAGGCTGAGGCTGAGAAATTAAATGTGTCCGCTGCTAAATTTCAAAGTTTGAATGATATCTTCGAGTTGGTTATCCTGGTTACTACATGCGGTCTACACAACTCTTCGACTAATATTTTCAGGAAGTCTACTCTCGTTAATTCGTTTCCGGCTGGTGAATGCAGATGAATAACTCTAGCATACGAGATCTTCTTGACGTACTGTAGCTGGCGCATTTTTGATTACTTTTTCTTCGGAACATGAGCAACAATCGTCACATCGGAAGTGAACTCAAATAGAGAGCTACCAATTTCCTTTTCTCTAGACGGTAAAAAATTTGGTGGAATAAAAGATTTATTCTTCCTCTAAGTACAAACAAACGTCAACTTTTCATTTTTTTAAGGCATTTGCAAGTTCTAGAGAGATGTACCAATTATCGGTAGTTATTTCTATTGGACCCTTTCACAGAATCAATCAACTTCATAACTACTTCTGCCTTACTTGGTGTCTGTTTTGGTGTTGGTGTTTTTACATCTGCCGAAACCTGTACCTTGATCCCATATTTGGCAGACTTACTTGGCAGGAATATTCGGAAACCACAGCGACCTCTAAGTAGAACTAGCATCTCATCTATGGTCAAATATAGAAAAGGAAAGTAACTTGATTCAATACCTCAGATATGGCAGCCAACTTGTTTCCTTCAATCTTTCCTCTCTTGTACTATTATCATCGAATCGAATAGAGGATAACAAGAAAGAAAACCTTTCAAGTGACATCGTGCATCTGAATATGTCTCTGCCAGTTCCATCACTGGCCCATAGAGATATGAGATCCTCATGACCTGATTTGAAAATGTCAGTTAAATAGAGCAGTCCATCCTTCTAGTCTCCAGTCTATTTCTTCTTAGTCGGTATTGTGAATGAAGGAAGCAGAGAACTGCGATCGGCAATTTCTCTATTTTCGAATTTATATGATTTTCTTGAGCATCGCGTCCGAAAAAATTTAGTTTCCAGGCTTGCAAAACTATCGAAGGTGGATTCTTTCTTGTGTCTCCCTTCAAGCCAGGCAGCATTGTACATAAATTCTTCTTTTCGGTTCTATCTCTTTTTGGTGCATTTTTCGACCATTTCATTTTGTCTCTACCATAAAAAGCTTGACGATTATATTTCCTAACTTCTTCAGTCTCCTCTTGTTCATTATCAGGCATCCATTCATCTAGAATAGTTTAAGTAGTAGGTACTCTTTCTTGCACTTCGAAAATTACATGACCATCTGGATTATCTGTGGAATAACAATCCTCCCAAAACTGTTCATCTTCAACAATTCGTAGGATTTCAGCTTCAGGAAGTGGCCTATTCATACTGTAAAATAAAAATAAAATCAATTATTTCATAATAATATGAATTTGCAATGATTCATTCATTCAAGGATTATAAAACGTACCTTGTGTTTCATATAACACTACCGTTCAAACTACACACGGGTCAATTTGACCCAAATACAGCAATATCAACAAACACGGGAATGCACAAAGCTCGACAAACACGTCAGAACAAAGATGAAGTAGCGATAGAAGAATACTGAAAGAATCACCCCTCTACTCACATGCGAAACTGAAAATTTCGGCTCGTCTCATGTCGTGTGGGTCAAAATGACTTGTCCGTAGTGACTAAGTGTTAAAGGTAGGTGACAAGTTCTTTACTCAAGACGTTGTACTCGTATAAAAAAGCCAATGCATGAGGTCTTCTTCAACGGTATTGAAGAATTTGGCTTTTCAAATCGTGGTTCCTTTGATTTCTTCATATCAAGGATTGATCATGTCCTGCTGGGACTTTTTTCCATCACCTTGAAATACCATTGGTTTACCATCGTGCTTCCTTTGATTTCTTCATTTCAAGGATTGATCATATCCTGTTAGGAGTTTTTTCTTTCATCTTAGTTTACCATTGGTATACCATCGTGCTTCCTTTGATTTCTATATTTCAAGGATTGATAATGTCCTGCTGGGACTTTTTTCCATCACCTTGAAATACCATTGGTTTACCATCGTGCTTCTTTTGATTTCTTCATTTCAAAGATTGATCATGTCCTGTTAGGGTTTTTTTCCATCATCGTGCTTCCTTTGATTCCTTCATTTCAAGGATCGATCATATCCTGCTAGGACTTTTTTTTCATCACCTTGGTTTACCATAGTGCTTCTTTTGATTTCTTCATTTCAAGGGTTGATCATGTCCGGCTAAGACTTTTATTCCATCACCTTGGTTTACCATTGGTGTACCATCGTGCTTCTTTTGATGTCTTCATTTCAAGGATTGAACATGTCCTGCTAGGACTTTTTTCCATCACCTTGATATACCATTCGTTTACCATCGTGCTTTCTTCATTTCAAGGAATGAACATGTCCTGCTAGGACTTTTTTTCCATCAACTTGGTTTACGAATTGGTTTACCATCGTGATTCCATTGATTTCTTCATTTCAAGGATTGAACATATCCTGCTGGGACTTTTTTTCCATCACATTGGTTTACCATTGGGGTGATGGGTATTGAGAAGTTCATTGTCCTGATACGTCACGTTACACAAATCCTATGGTGAAGGATTCTGTAAATTTGAAATTAGAATGGTACCAGTCGCTCATTATGCCTTATCCTTATTGTATAAATTGGAAGAGGTATATTGTAGTTTTTGAAAATGCTTTCCCTTTGGTTTTATTATTCAAATTGAATTATTTCATCTCAAACTAGATAATGACTTTACAACACACTGTGTACGAGTCAACGGTCGATTTTACTTACAGTAGAGGTTAGGTTAGGTTTGGAATATGTATTTACGAGACACGTATCTTAATTGGAATGTTTATTTTCACGTTTTCTCATAGTTAACGCATAATAGTATAATAGGTGGTATTATATTTTTATTGATGATTGTTTAGTTCCAAAACAATGAAGTCGGTATCTTATCAACCATTATTGCAAAATTACCTCAATAGTTAAATATTGACTCCGATGATTGAAATTCTCGAGAAACAAATGAAAATCGGCATATTTGTAATTTTCGAAAAACATACAATGCATGATTGCAACACACTACTTAATGAAACGTTTCATTGCAGGCCTCCTGAAAATGACATAAACATCACCGATCTTCGACCGGATATCAATTGATGGAGTAACTCTACAGTTATCATTGTGGACTTGCTGATATAGACAAGAAATTTACCCGCTAACATGAGACTGCTAGTTCTGGTCGCTCTTTTATCCGGTAAGTGGTGTATTTATTGCGTATTTCTTGATGTTACTGCGGATGCCATTATAATGAGAGATATGCAGGAAATAATGAACAGGAATTTCTGGCCTACGGAACATCAGGAGGATTGTTGTATGATTACAGTATTTCGATTCTTACAACACCGACAACACCGAGCGAGTGGATGATAACACATCTATCGAGTGGCCTGAAATCATAAAAACTTAAAATATCTAAGATTTTATTTTTATAAAAAAAAAGTTTTCATTATAGATTTCATTATAGCTAATTGTGTAACTGATATGCCATATTCTTGTCAATTTCATTGAACAGTTCACAAAACCGCAACATGAGTTTCATAAGACAATAGCTTCCTCAGACATGTTCGTACAGCTAAATTCTACCTAATTACCTACCTAATTACCGATTAAGAATAGAAGGTTATACGATTCAAATTGTGAGTTTATATAAAGCAGTGTTAGGAATCACACGTTAAAAGGTAAGACCTCGTTAATCCTTAGCTCGCACAAGTTTCGACTTCTGAGGGTTGTCGTTCGTAGGGGTGCGACAGCTGGTTAACGGAAAAACATATTTTTTGACAGATTTTTTTTAACAGTAATTAGGTAGAATTTAGTTACTATGAGCGCACTTAAGGAAGCTATTGTATAATGAAACACGTGTTGCGGTTTTGTAAACTGTTCAGTGAGAATCTCAGAATAAAGCCTTACTTGAGTAGCTGATTCATTAGCGCAAACTGATAGTTCCAATCATCGAATCGACAGAAGCCATTGTGAATGCCGAATCGATCCCCAATATGGAACAATTTGCTCATGTGTATTGTTCGTTGCATACTAGGAATCATATGTTAACTCCTAACTTGCCCAAGTTTCCATTTTTGATGGCTGTCGTTTGAAATGGCATCTGGATAATGGGTAAACTAATTTCAACTAATTGTTGTGTGTTTTCCTGAATCGTCTGTATTATTGTTCGATTCGAACCAAGGTTCGGTCATTGGAAAGATATTTGAAAAATCAGACATGAAAGTACCTGTCAAATTCGATTTCATTATCCAGATTTTAGATATCTTTCAGACATGGGAACTGAAGAGTCTGGAATGTAAAGAAGAAAATTGGTTATACCGGACAGATTATTGAAATTCTTTTCGAAGAATACACGCCATATTCGATGTTTCCAAGATGTGAGAGATACAAAGTTGGATATATTAAGAAGATGTTGCCCATATCAGAACTTAGTTAAATGACGTTTTCGATTTCCTATCATGTGTGGTACATCAGTGAAGTTGTCGTTAAGAGGGGTAACTGTTTCTTTTTTTCGGTTCATATAAAAAAACAAAATGGTTTCTTGGAGATGAATTGTTGGATCAAAAATCTATAAACGCCATCTTCTACATCTTGTAAAGTGGCATTATGAAAGCGTTTTTTGTTTTGACGAATTTCGGTTTTTGAATATCTCCGAAACCGATCACAATTTCCTTAATCATAAAACGTAATTTAAATGAGTTTCGAAATCATCCGACTTTGTATATTTCCTGGTTTCTGACTTTCCCATTAAATAGCAATGTGTATAGTGAGAAATATATACAGCCTCAGGGGTTGAATTCTCAATATTGAAATGTTTCTTTCCTGAAACTTACTATTCCTAAAATTTCAGTTACAGCAATTAATATATTTTTCCGATATCATTATGAATTTGGGGATCATTTCGTGAGATGATAGCACCCTCCTGTTTTGCATTGTTGTGATTTAGAGTTATAGTTTTATCGTATAAAAATTCCAGTCCACGGCTCACAGCTTCAACAAATTCAGTTAGTTAGTTTATTTTCCGAACAGAACTTGTGAGGGAGCCGATCATGTGACAGAGCCGCGTAATCTTCCCACTGGCACCTTGGTAATGCGCATTGCGCATGGAGCTGGGCGGCGGCACTGAGTTCGAGATGTTTGTGTTGCTGTTTGATGACCAACCAATTGATTACTCACTGAATCGGTTATTGTTTCAAATTATTAATATTTAGCTAGCATAAGTTTCGAATTCTGAAGATTGCGGTCCGTAGGAATGATAGCAAAACAGAAGGACTGTGATCCTTAGGGAAAAATCGCGATATTCTTATAAATTTCTTCTATTCGTAACTATTACGTCATAATAGAATCTTGTATTGGTTGGTAAAATCTATTTTTCAATGATAGTATTTCATACCTTACCTTCCTATTTTACCACATCGCCTCACTTACATTTTATGATTTCTATTTTATTTTCAATGTTATCATAGATGCCCTTATATAACCAATTAGGTTAACGACGAAACCCCTCCTCAATCTATTTAGAGTCTGATTAGTTGAATTTTTTTCAAATATTGCAGTTGAACATAAAATATCACTGAGTCCTATAAGCAATATAATACTAGAGCGTATGTTTCACAGTCATTTAGCTGAATTGAAACCTGTATTCAGATGAAGGAAGTCCTTGAAAACTTTAGCAATGAATAAGTCAAATTCATGAAGCTCATTTCCTAAATTACTGAAATTCTTACACCTTTGAATTTTTGGGTAATACTGCTTTTGGTCTCTGAAACATATTCTCTCAACTTCAAGAGTCCCCCATCTGCTCAGTTGTTATTCCAGTTTGATGTTTCTCTCACTTCAGTTTAGATAATTTTCAATTATATTTATATTCACTGATTTCGATTTCAAATTAAAAAAATACATTTTCTAGACAAAGATTGAGCACCAATAAATTTAAAACAAAATTATCAGAAAGATAAAGTGGCTTCAGTGCAATCCAAAGTTCTTAATCAATAATATTTACGGACTGTAGATCATTTATACACAGTTTAAACCATAATCGTTGGTTGGTTCAAATTCAAACTGTTGATTAACCTCGGTTCAATTCCGTATGATTGACAGCCGATTATGGATAATCGAAAATTTCAACGGTCGAGTGTAAATTTTTTTCATTTCAGTATCTGAAAAAAGTGTGTGTGTATAGTATAGAGATGTTTAAATTGCTATTTATATATTAAATTTTTTCTTGCTCCCTTAAAGAAGTAGGTTTAAAATAGGTTTTTCTGTTAACCAGCTGTAGACTACAACCCTCAGAAGTCGAAACTTGTGCGAGCTAAGGACTAACGAGGTCTTACCTTTAAACGTGTGATTTCTAACACTTCCTTCAAAATATTTTTACTATCTAAACATTATTGTATCAGATCAACTGTTTGATATAGCGTAAAAAGATTAGGTACTCGTAAACTCGGCAACTTTTGGTTTTAACGATATTTTTTATTAGGTACATCAGATATGTATTCGTTATAAGTTTGAACATAAAATATATGAAGAAACAAACGTCAAATTTTACGATAGTCGTGTTTAGTTTGTTTCTGATGAAGTCACAGTGGATGTAGGCCAACTATTTTTTAACTTCGTTAGCGATTTTATTACTACCACTCCCACTACAAATGAGCAAAACGATGAATTTGAATATGTCTGGTACGAATACTAATTGCAACTATAAATTTTCCTGAGACTTATCCCATGAACATGAACTGCCCACGTAAATATGCTTCAACCTGTTGTTTTAACATGTCATATTGCGTATATAATCACTACTTAAGAGTATAGTAACTTTATTTGGCCTTAATCAAGAATGAGTCATTCATTCATTCACAGGTACGACTTCGAGAAAGTGGTCATAAAATCCAGCAAAATTCGTCACTGAACTGAAGAATAGGTTATATCTTATTGCGTACAATTATAAAAACCGTATACCTACCTTAATTAAAAGATTCCCGATTGTGAACACTTTTGATGGAGATATATTTCTTGAACCATTTTATAGATTATAAAGAAAACAAATTTATCTGAAGGTATCTTTAAATCCAAGTATTTGTCGAACTGCTGGACTTACATTGTCCCATTTTCGTTTTTTTCCACATGATGCTGCTCTACCTTTCTCTAATGGATCGAAATGCCACTTATTTTTTAAGATATCTACCTGCTACAGTGCTAAAGATTTCAAAGAAATAAAGAATCGGGAAAATCCTAAAGAAGAAGAAAATCAAATCAACGAAGAAAATATCGGAGCATCTGATGAGATCAGCAAAACACAGTAGAGACCCATTCAAATCAGCGAGAGTTTACAGGATTTTATGTAACTGTGGTAAAGTCTATATCGAAGTCGAAGTAACCTTTATTGTGAATACTTAAAGCTATTGGCATCTCAAAGGCAAAAAAAACCAATAGAGAGAAATAATGCCGCTGCGAACTAGTCCACGTGGACTGAAGAATTGGCAGTTCGTATTGAATAATTTTTACCAACCGAGGTTTATGATTGGCTGAAGTGTCATAAAATTGAAATTGAAGTCATGTTACGGTGACGAATAGAATGTGGGGATGAGTATCGCCGTTGTGTCGTCAATTTTTAGTTCAGGAACTAAATTCGAAATTGGTGCAGTTATAATTACTCAATTTTTTTTATCTGTTAAAAATGTGACGTCCTTGGACAAGTACTAATAGTAATAACGAGTGTGATAACAACGCAGACTTTTTCCTGTGTAGTGATTCCAATAGCAATGGTGAACTATGCGAAAAAAATATACCAATGAATAAGATTCGGATGCATTTAAATATTGAAACACAGAGAGTATGTTTCAATGTATATAATAATCTACATCTCAAGTTCGGTTTCGAACTTGTCAAATCTAATGTTACAAGTAACATTAGATTTGACCGAAATTCCTTTCTCAACTATACGTAAAATAGTCAAAAACAAACCTTATAAACGCAAGACGCGATGTGATACGGGATTACCAAAACCTTTAGATGTTCATCTAATAAAATCATTGAAAAAAACAATATACGACTGTTTCAAAAGCAATGAGATTTCTACAACTGAAATCGTAAGGAAGAAATTTAATACTTCCGGCCATAACGTGAGCTGTTGTACAAAACTCTTCAGAATTGGATAAAGATACTAGGATTTATATTTAAAATAATAAACAAACGTCAACAGTTATGGAAAGCAGAATAATAGTGAAATTGCGTAACAAATACTTAGAACAAATAAATAAATCTAGACAAGAACAACGGCAAATTTTCTATTTTGACGAAACTTGGTATGACACTCACGACACAGTTACGAAAGGGTGGACTGATGGTTTGAGAATGTGTACGCCTAACATGCCTGCAAATAAAGGATCGCGACTAATCATTGTGAATTGCGGAGGAAGTGAAGGATGGGTTCCGAATTCTTTGAAATTATGTGAAAAAAAAAATTGAGGACTGATATGTTGACTATCATAAGAACTTGTGAGCTAATATTTTTGAGGAATGGTTTGAAAACGCATTAATCCCAAATTTGGATGCGAATAGTGTAATAGTTCTTGACAACGCTTCCTATCATTCACGACAGCTCATCAAAGTATCGAATAAAAACTCGAGGAAAGATGAAATACAAAGTTTTTTTAATGGATAACAATTTGTATTTTGAAGATAATTATACCAAAAACCAACTAATTGAAGTTTAACAGACAAAAACATTTGAAAAAGTGTATCACTTTGAGAGTATTGCTGAAAAGTATGGACACACCATAATGAGACTTCCCGCTTATTTTTGTGTTTTCAATTCCATCGAGTTGATTTGGGGGAAATTGAAATGAAACCGATAGACGTAAAAATAATTTTCCAAAACTTGATAAGAAGGTAATAGAGCTAGTTAAAGAAGAAGTATCTAATATTACCGAAGAAGACTGACAGAAAAGGAATAAAAAGTAATTTTTTTTGAAAAAGACTATATGAAAATTGGACACTTATTGGATATTAATGGTGGAAATAAATTCATTATTGATTTAAATGACGACAGTGATAATGAAACAGAGAATATGGAAGAGGAATTATCAGAAGCTTTCGAAGAAAGTTAGTGAAGTGTTTTTGAAGCGATCGATTGTATAATTTATATAGATATAGTTATATATTATATAGTTATTGTGATTCTTATATAATCGGAAATGATTATTGAATAATAAATTAGGACATGCACTGTCCGACGAGGAACACAAGATCCTGTTCGAAAACATCGAGAGGCTAGTAACGTCGAATCATTATCCAACAAGAATGTACTTAGAAGCCATAGAAATACACAAACACCAAAAGAACTATAACAGAAAGGAAAAGAGGATATATCTACCAAATATCTGGCACACAGCTTTGAAAGGCGCCGAAGCGAAGCCAAGTCACTCAAATCGCGCGGGAAGTAAGGTCGAACCCACTATCACAGAAAGTGGGAGGAATATCAGCACTATAAATGACATGGCAGAAATGAAAGCCATAGATTCACTTGACACTTCAAGAAGAGTACTTCGACCACGCCAAAACCCGGAAACCAACCAAAACATTGACCCAGCCGTGAAAACCTACATTCCTATATATTTAATAGTTTCTTCAGATGATAGAAACAAATGGAACACCCTATATCTTTTTACATTTTTGAATTCAGCAGTTTATTTTACATACGAATATTTCATTTTGGTGAAAATATACTTACTATGTAATAAACTTCTGTTTTTTCAACTACACGATTGTTAACAATTTTTTGACAGATTTTTCTATTTCCTGATATTTTTATGAAGAAACATAGAAGAAAAAACAATTTTCATGATATAAAACTATTAGCCTACTGATACTGAGAAAATGTTAGTGGAAATTATCATAAAAAAAATTCGTTCACACTATAATAGGCTGTAACAGAGTGTAGAACTTCGTCTGTGTTCCGGAATTCTGTAGAGCTTCTGTAGCTATTTTTGAGTCATTGCAAATTGCTGAACTTTCAGTTAGAGGTACCATCTAACAATGATAGTAACATGAAAGAGAAGCCTTGTACGAATAGGCTTCCTTCGAACTCTTGCAACCTACGGTTGAAATCCTCATTAGACGTTTTCACCACAATGTGAATCTTATCGTTATCAAAGGGTGGATATTGAATGACTCATGTTCTGATAGAGAAGTAGCGGTGCCACAATTTCTCTAGTTCCAGAAATTTGGTCAAAGTTGTTTTCAGTTATCGATAGTAAAAATACCTTTTAACGAAATACCTAATATTGCTGGAGTAACAGCAAAACTTCAAGTTATATTCACGTAATATTTTCAAACAAACTGTCATATAGAAAGTGTGGGTTCGTGGCAAAGTATATAGTTCCTTTTCGGTCTGTGGGCGAAGACATCCCACACTTTGTCATCAGTTTTCTTTCTGAGATATTGCAGACTTCGAAGTGAGTATTGAGGGGTCTGACATGAATCAGTTGAATGAAAATCTGAACTTAGGAAACTTATATAATATATGGAAAAAAAGAAATAATTAGTGCACAAAAAGAACTGAAGGTGAATCGAGTTGGATCATGCTGATCTACGAGCTGATATTTGAAGTGAACTCCTGGATACTTATTTTGAACCTATACAATAGCAATATTCGTATCGATTCTAGAGAATTCTTCAATATAAGCAAACAAATACTTTGTCTTTCAAAAGGACAGAACATAAGCACTACAGAAAAATCCTTAAAGTGGTGCCTGAGCAAAAGTAGCGATTCACCTTTTAATTTGAATCGCTGGAGATTGAATTCACTTGGAAAAACGTCCTCAGGAAGTTTATATCAAATAAACGCAGGGTGAAAGCGTTCTTATTCAGTGAAGTTCGAGGTGTACTGAGTTGAACCTCAAAACGATGAGTAGCTAGAGTTCGTTGGGTATTTCTGATATGTACCGCTCTTAGTGGAATCAAATGTGCCAAGTCACTTGAACACCTCCCGTGAATGTATCTTTGGAAGAGAGACAAATCTCCAACTTTTCTTCGATGTTCCAGACTATCAAGGTTGCGAGTGATGTTCATGTCTCCAATCAGACGATGGCTCTTTTCTGGATGGAATCCAGCAGCTTCAGGTTATGCTTGGGGGCGGAACTTCATGCATAAGAACAATACTCCAAAGAAGTTCTGATCTGAGCTTTATAAAGGATCAAAAGTTGCTGAGGTGTGTACAGTTTTCTGGTTCGGAACAGTGTTCCAAGCTTTTGAGAAGCAGCTTTTGCAATTCCAGCGACATGATTGTGCCAAGACATATTGGTGTCAATTTTAAACCCCAACGAACTTATCGAAGCAGAAAGCGTAATTGTCTGTCTTGACATCATTATATCCAGTTCGGAGACATTAATCTTTTTGAAGAAAATCGATGCCTGGGTTTTCGTGACATTAGATAAAACCTGGTTACTTTCACCCCAATTTGAAATGACATCTAGATCCTCATCAAGATATGCAACCTCCTGTTGCTGGTAATCTGCAGCAGACGTCGTGAAATCCAAAAGGAATGACGAGACAAGTGGACTGTTATCAGCAAAGCAATATATTGTATTCTTGGGTTCTTACAATAATAGAGAGATAGTTGAAGATAAAACTATTCGAGAGATATCCATCGACGGACAATTGCATTGAACGTTTTTTCAGGAAACTGGAGAGTCATAAAAATTATCCAACAAGTCATAGCATCAAAGTTTGGTCAGCAAGCCCTCATGCAATACACGGCCAAAGGCCTCAGAAATATCTAGCGCAACAGATCTCGACTCTCCATATTTCTCGGTTGCGTTATTCCAAAAATATGGGTGACATAAGATAGTAAAGTCGCTTGTTGATCTTTGTTTCCGAAAGCCATATTGATGATCGCTCAAGATGCTCAAGAAGCCTTCAAAATATTTAAGGATCTGGTGGCTCAACTGAATACATTGATTTTTTGAAATTTATCACTACTTGAAATTTACTCTCGGTGGTGCTTCACTGGCCTGCATGTTCAGGATTTGTCAGCAGTCCCGATTATGATTTATTTTCTATATTAGAACCTAAATATAATAATAAAAGGTGTACATTTTTGCTATAAGGATGTTGAAGTATCATGACGAAGTGATCATTAACCAATCACACTCTAGAGTTCAAGAGTTTCCTTTGAATAGGATGAGGTAAACGTTTTGTCATAGATATCATTAAAAGAGTACAACAATTCAAAGTACATACGAGGCAATAAACATTCCAAAATTCCACTCTTAGCTTGTAACCTTTTACCTTTTATTTTTTACAGCTGCTCGTGGCGAACAGCTTCTTACCAAAAAACCGATTAAGAGAAGTTATGTTTGTCCGCCCAATTTCATTAGACAAGGACGCAGGTGCTACTTCTTCAGCAAAGACGCAACAACTTGGCAAGAGGCTCTTTATCACTGTCGAGAGTTACATAGCCATCTCACTGTCATAAGGAATCCAGTGCAAGATAAACTCGTTAGGAGTTTCCTCAGCCAAAAATCTTTGGGTAGGTATTAACTACTGTTGTACAACCAAGTTTTTCAATTGAGTGCCTGAAAAAATACTCAAAAGGGTGAAGAATATTGAAATTTGACTTTTTTTAATCAATTTGCTAGGATATATGAAAATCAGAATAATTTATCCAACTGATATTTCGATATGCTTTTCCCTCACAATTTTTTTTCTTGAGTAGCCTTTGATCAATTCATCTAAACAATGATTTTTAGTTTTAGTTTTTAGTTTTGAACGAATTTCATAATATGTCTAGATGCTTTTACTCTGGCATAAATGTGTATCACTTTAGAGATGTTACTATCTTCATTTGGGTTTGAAGGCAGTCGTTGTTTGGAACTGCATCCCAACGTTTCGCCAGCATGAATGGCTGGCTTCTTCAGAGGTTTATTCATCTTTACGATTCACCGATGACTGGTGATTTCTTGTTCGTAGATTGTCTTAACCAATTTATCACTTTAGAGATGATTATTATCAGTCACCGTCAAAAGTTATGTTAAAAACAAAGAAAAAATTAAACAATTTGATAAAGTGAGGAATGATACTTTGTAACAATGACATTAATACCGTTTCAAGAATAATTTCATTCAAGTTTTATAAAGCATTGAAGGTTATTGAATGTGCACTGCTTTCTATTAAGTTGCTTTGTCCGTTTTCATGAGTCGCTGACCACCATACAGTAACTATGGTCTTTTTAACGAGTTTTCGTCTTTGGTAAGTGCCTGGGTATCTCATTGGTATCCAACCACTGTCCTGAACTTCTCCTGTTGTCGTAGAGAATCCACTTTCGTCACACTTGACGATCCGACCCAAAAAAGGATAGTTTTGGTTGTGCAAAAGCAAAGAAGGACAAACTTCGAAACGTGATAACTTTGTTGATCGTTCGAATCGCGGGGACCCACTTTTTCAGCTTTTTGACCTTTCCAAAATGTTTTAAACCATCAAAGACCGCATAGGAGATGACGCCCGGTTTTTCCGTTATCCCACGCTCCGTTTGTGCGAGGGATGGGGGGCCCTCGAATCCTCGTCCTGGATTACTGTAGGTCGACCACTTCGAAGCTCATCTTCAAGGCAAAAATTTTCGGAACGAAATTTCGCAAACCAACGTCGAATAAGTGCATTCATCAACACTATCATTGCCAAAAGACTGCTTGATTTTCGGGCTGTTTCGGCAGCTCTTTGGTTTAACATTCGTAGAGAAATATTGCCTCATTGCATTCAACTGTACACTTTATTGAAGTTCACTATTGCTCAATTAAAATTATTTCAATTATTTTTTATCGTTTCTGGAGAAATTGATCATATGATATCATAATAATTCGAAGTAGGAATGGTTCAATTGAGGCTGAGCCTATGGCGAGGAGCTTACTGCGCAACCTCTGCTGCAGGCAACCAGTGATGCAATTGAACCCAGGTTTGTGTTTAATAAACCCTACAAAATACGAATAAAACAGAACACAGAGTCAGATGCTACAAATGCAATACGCATATATACAGATAGCTCAAAAATCAAAGAAGGCTCAGGATGTGGGGTGTACTCCAGATCACTAAGCCTTAGGATTAAGTGGGGAATGGAAAAAAATACTAGCGTGGTTCAAACAGAACTGGCTGGTATCTCAATCGCCACAAAAGAAATAACCAGGAAAGGAATTTCTGGCAAAAACATAACAATCTGCACTGATAGCAGACAAGCCCTATTAGCCTTGAACATACAACGTGTTACATCAGGACTAGTACTAGAGTGCCACCAAGATTTAGCCAAAGCCTCGGTAAATAATAACATTATCCTGAGGTGGGTTAAAGGGCACGACAGGAGTAAAGGTAATCTCTTTGCCGACTCTTCAGCCAAGGAAGCGGCTGGACTAAGAATTTTAGGACTCAGTGGCACCTACGGCCTGATAACTTCGACAATTGCAGAACTAGCCAAACGTCACACCCATGCTAAATCCCTAAAGAGATGGGATGAAATCAAAAGATGATATCTTGCCAGGTTCACCCTTGGCGACCCTGGGAAGCTGGCGCCGAAGAAATATCTGGCGATGACCAGGAAAAATCTACGCTCAACAGTAGAATTTCTGGCTGGCCACTGTCAACTAAGGAAACGCCTCCACAATATGGGGCTAGTGGACACACCTCTATGCAGGATGTGTGTACAGGAAGATGAAACTGTCAGGCCGGAGTTATCGTCAATAAGAAAGAGTGTGTTCGGCGAGTCTTGGCCTTCACCTGCCGATATAAAGGAGATGTATCCCAGAGACCTGTCCACCTTCCTGGAAAGGACAGGATGGACGATGACCTAGGAGGACAACTCCTCGGGAGGATGTACAATGGGTCACATGTGGCCTAAGTGCTGTGGTCCTACACTCACGTTCCCTACTCTACAGATACAGGTCATAACAACTATCATTAATGTGACAGTTGGTTTGGGTTTTAAGTTTTTTTTGAGGTAAATGCTCAGACTTCATTTTTTCAAGAGAATCATGTAATGACAATAATATGAACTATTTTTATGTAGATCCGGTTGAGAGATGGTTAGGTGGCGTATACGATTGGGCAAATATGACGTGGAAATGGGCTGCTTCTGGAAAACCCTTGGGTTATAATGGTTTCGTTAAATTTGACAAGGAAGAGAATAAAGAAAAGCTGAGGTGGCACTGTCTCATCATGGATCCATCTCTAGATTTCAGGTAAAAATATGATCGTAATTATAATACTAATAGATAATTCACAACTGAATCAGCCAAAGAAGTATTTTGTTGCATTTGCATTCACCATACCGATTATTTAAATATCAATTCATTGGTCCATACAAACCTAAGGACCTATTTTCATTGATCAATAATTACAAATACAAATAGAATAAAAAATTTTCAATAATAACGCTCTGATTTGTTATTTCAACCAAAACTGTAGATGGTTATCCTTGAGAAATGAAACACAGTTATGTTATATAAATTACCGAACACTCAGTTTTCAATGCATATTGTCAGTGAATATTATTGAAGTTTTATCCCAACACCAAACCGTTATTTTTAACACCTCGACACGTGTTTCGATCATTTCATGCCGATCATCTTCAAGAGGAAGATGATCATCTTGAAGATAACCACTTAGAGATCGAAACTCGTGTCGAGGTGTTGAAAAAAACGGTTTGGTGTTGGGATAAAACTCAGTAATATTCATTACTACTCCAAAGGTTCCAAACAGTGTATCACAAGTAGATATTGTCAGTGAAAATAAAACGAGAAGTGGCTGAAAGACGGCAACCTAGCTCCATTCGAAAGCATCAACACTTATGTTGAAAAGTAAATAATATGGTTGAAGGCTATTCTATGAAAAGTAGATTGAGTTATAGTCCAATCCAAGTTCAAAACTTGATCATAATTGTGGGCAAGTTCCAAAATAGTTACTACTGTGTAACGAGTTCGACAGACGTTGTTAAGGTTGAAAGTACTCATCTAATTTCTTAACCGCTACAACAACATCGCCTTTTGTTACGTGATTCTTGATATGGTAGCCTGGAATGTTGTAGAATATTTCTTGCAGTGACAACTCTCCAGCATGCAGAAGCGGAGCTCGTTTTTTCCTTGAGTCCACTATATTGGTTACCTCCAAATAAGTGAACAGTGCTTTCTTCTTTTCAATTTTACTCATAGGAGGCTTGGATTTGCGTTACAGATGAGACAATATATTTGGAAGGCTACTACTCATAACTAGCTTTCTAAAAATAAGTATTCACGACACACACTGAAATTTGTACTGATGAACTTTTTTTTGAATCTGTGTTATTAAATTAACTTTCTCCAGGAGAAAATTCGGCTTATATTTCTCTTTCGGGAACCTGGGTTCGTAACTTTCTTTTGAGTACTTGGGCTTTTAACCATTCTTCGTGATTCTGGGCTACACAACCCATTTAAAGAAACCTGGCTTCTTACACCCATTTTCTCACACTTGGATTCTCGCGCCATTTATGAATTTCAGCAACTCGATATTTTTGCCGTAATACATTTTTTTGTTTACGTAAATATATATCCACATTTTTTTTCTTCAGAAACACTTTTACTCATCCTCGTCTCTAGAAATATAATCCTGATTCAATAAAACATCTAAATAACCGAACTTTCCTTACCCCTAATGCGACGAAAGTTCTCTCTCGTCTGTTAAATGCTAAGTAAGATGCCTTCGACGTGATAACTCGGTTAGTTTTCAAATCATTCAAAGGAACAATTCGCTCAGGCCACTTACCTAGCAAAGTAGATTCATGTACTGACACATATCAGAAAACAACTACGCCCCTGGCTAATACCACGAAGGGCGTTGGATTATATCCGACAGGTGTCAGTGCAAGATTCTTCAGAGAAAAAATTGTCGCATATGCTTTTGGCGATACAACTTTGGCGATTTTCAATTATTGGAACGGACACACTTGCAGATCGGTTTCGGGCCTTTTGGCATCTCGTAAGTGCAAGGTTCATCATCAACACGAAGTCGATGATTTCCCATAATTAAAAACCTAATTCTTTCAGAGAATTATACTTCAAGTATACCCACTTAGTAGTTTTCCTTTAATTATATTTGTCATCACATAAAATGATATCATCCTTCATTTTCTATTTGATAAAACAGATAGAAAATCAATGTTTTGGTTGGTTTCCAAGTTTTGCCGTGGTCTTCTTTGGTTATAATCTCCAAACGTTTCAACTGCAACTGCGGTAGTCATCTTCAGTGGCGTGGTCTTCTTGACATATCAACCGAAACCAACCAAAACATTGACGTCAGCCGGAAAGCCTTCATTCCTAGACTGAAAGTCAGTATCACTAATCGCTTGATTATTTTTCTAGGTGGAACTCCCGAAGCTGCTTCGAGAAAAAACACTACATGTGCCATACCAAGCTGAAAATAGTCACTAACAAAGACAAAAGGAAACTAAAACATCGGTATCGTGCAGATGAGTCCAATAAATTGAATGAAATACCCGTACCTTCAGTTGCAGAATTCAAAAACAGCAGCGATCCTTTGAAGCCCCCCTTTCCGATAACGTATAAATTCGAAATAAACAGAAGTTTAAACGATCAGGCAATGTTCGCGTATACTCCCAAAGCTCTGAGGAGAGTGAAAAAGAATAAAAAACGAAAGGCTAGAAAGATACTTGCTGAAGGGCTGGTTGTGGAAACGTCAAAGGGAAGAAAGAAGTCTAAAAGGAAAAAGGTCAAGCCAGAAGATTTGGGGGAGCCTACTCTGATACGAAACATCAGATGGAGGACTTACAAGAAGAAAAACAAGCGTTTGAATTCTTTGTATCCACCCCAAATAGTCGAGGAGTATAATTATGTCAAAGGGTGAAACATCCGTATATTCTGCTAAGAGGAATATTTGTACATAATTCAGTCATTTTCAATGTCGATTTCGGTCTTGTTTTCAAACAGTGCTCTCATACGTTTGATGACCACTTCAGAAAAAATTGAAAGATGGACTGTAACAAAAAATTAGGATGCTGCAATGTATCTAATCTAAAATTTCTACATCAAATCCTTAAATTTAATTTCAACGCCCAGTTATGTCTTTATCGTTTTCAGTATTCCTACCCTGTCACTGGAAACTAACCGATGACTGAAGTAATTTTCATGTTTATTATTACCGTTTTATTTTGCATTGTGTTCGTTCATTGTGTGTGGTCTGCTTTCTTGCCCGGAAAACATAACAAGCTTCTTAGATATGACTTTAATGATTCAGTCGTGCTCACATTATAAACCAAGTCGATATTAATTTGTTTACCAAGCCAAACACAAACCAACCTACATGAAATGACATTTCTAATGTATTTTATTAATAATCTCTTTCCATCCACAGAAATTGTCTCATTGAGTGAAATTTGAGTGTGTACGTAAAAATATCAATATTTTATATGTTGACAAATTATTATGGATAATATTTGTGATGAACGTACTTTAATTATCAACAATGTTATACTCATATAAAATTATCCTTTTCTATCAAGTGTCATCGTTAAATTCTTTGCCACAGTTTGATTTCATATTCACGATGAAGTTGAATAACTTCATAGTAATAATAATAAATTTTCCACCACATGTTTCATACGTAACAAGGTTCACAATGAATTGTCACAACCACTAAAGGTGAATTCTTGAGAGAGAAACAAAAAGTTTACAACCACGTGAAACAGACAAACTTCATCCAAAGAAATTATTTTTGTTTCAAATCTTCGTTTTTTATATTATTTGAAATCAAATACCTTCTGAAGCGGGGCATAACTATTTTTTATAACATAACATACATAACAGTATGTGAGATATGAAAGATTCATTTTTGCGTGGCTTTTCTACAAACATTCTCACTGTTTTATTCATTAGAATAAACATTACAAATTTACTCTTCAAGTATGGAGATGAGTCGTAGATATATGTATTATAGTTACTATAATCGATTATTCATTTGAAAAATATGTGCCCTCAAATATTTTTTTCAGAAAACATCAATAACCCCATTTTCATATAAGTTTTTTTTTTCATATTTTTCTATATTTCTAATGTTGAACTTTCAAAAACCCTTTCAATCAATGTGTTATTTTGCTACGTCCTCTGTCAAAGGTAACGACCTGAGTTGTATAGTGTTTTAAGAGCCCATTTGACAATTATTCCTAAGTGATTCAACCAGCAGATGGCACTCTACAGGGATTTAAGTTAATTCTTTTAGATACCTGGGTCTTTGTTTTCAGGTAAATATGACGGTACTCATTGGGAAATGGTTTGATATGAATAACTTCAATTATTTAATCATCAGCAGGTAAATTTTTAATTCTGTAAAGTTATGAAGATGCTTCATTCTTTGAACCTGAGAATATGAAACGTGTTCATCGCAGTTTACTCTGGTAGTTAGCACCATGCGTGGTGCTCACGTCGGTAGTTAGGCGGTTCGACGTGGGTACTTTGTTCACTCACACGAATGGACTGCCGTGTTGGTCGGTGGTTCAAGCCCTAGTCTGAACGATCGATTTTCACTGGCTATCGTCCAACCTGTATTAGGAATGACACATTAAATGCTAAGACCTCGTTAATCGTTAGCACGCACAAGTTTCGACTTCTGAGGGTTGCCATTCGTAAGGGTGCGACCACTGGTTAACAGAAAAAACAGATTTGAAGCAGATTTGAATACAAATAATGTCTTCATCAAAAAGTATTTATTCACTTATTTCTTCAAACATGAAATCGCAGCTGTTCCCTCCTTCAAGGAAAATACTTTGTTGATTCAATTGAGAATCATCCCTTCAAAACATTGTGTTTTCTTTATGGCTGCTTCTTAATTGCAACAAAATATATTTCATTAAAAGTTTATTTTTGGCATGTTCAGGTACCTTTTCATTAATAATTTTGAATGGGAAACCCTACAAAATTGTTTTGATTTCCATTCACCCAATATTTACTTTAGTCGTTTTATCGACTATTCTTTGTAACATTTTTTTTTGTTTTAAGCTACCCATACCTTTTTTCTAGATCACATTCTTTAAAAATATATACAGTTCTTTTGCAACCATTTTTGTTACAAAGACAAAAATCCATAGAAGTTTAATATTCACTACTCGAAAATAACTTTATAAATTGAAAGGGAACTTCAGAAATGATATCGAAATAAAAAAATATAAAAACAATTTTTTCCACAATAATTTGAAATTGGCTTTGTCTCTTTTGTTAATGTGTAAAAACTTCATAGTTTTGCCAGTTTCTTACTGATTATCATGTTTTTCAATCAAAGCGTACCATGAATCACACGTTAAAAAGCAAGACCTCGTTAATCCTCGGTTCGCATAAGTTTCGACTTTTGAGAGTTGTCGTTTGTAAGGGGGCGACAGCTGGTTACCGGAAAAACAGATTTCAACAGATTTTCAATCAGTATATTTAGGTATAACTGTTGCTTACTGCTATTCTACCAAATTTCAATTCCACCGATACACATTTATTCAGAACTCTATGATGATATATTGAACATAGATATTGAAATATATTGATAGATTTCCATTTTGATGGATTTGTCTAAACATATTTATGCACATTTAGATATATCTCTTAAGTGAACTCAACCAATTGCCGTACTGAAACTAAAAACAGTTTGCTTCAACCTGTTTTTCCAGAAATTAGATGAAAACTAACGAATTCTTGCCTTTTGGAACATAACTGTAACGATGTAATGACCGCTGATTTTTGAGTAGCAGATATAATTTCTAAAAATGTTTTTGAGCCATAAAGTATTTTGACATGTATTTTCAAAGTAAGTTTGGTAATTATGTATTTTTATTTATATTATAGGTAGTTGTATATACGTTATTTATTTTTATTATATCAACTCTTATACAGAAGATTTGCATCGCTGGAGATTATCTCATATATAGATGAACTTCCATGCAATTATATTTGATGAACTGAAAATACAATCGCTTATTTTGTTGACAATTTATTTGAATTCCTAGCACCCCAACGAAACAACAACGCCGTAATATCATTTATAGGTGCCCCACCTCTAATTGTGACATGAATCAATGAACAATTCCCTATTAAGTTGAGGCATCCAATGTCATTGGTGAAAATCAAATTCAAACGATATTTCATCGATGCTATAATTTTACAGCATCTTTTTTTTTGTAAATTGAAAAGCAGTATATAGAAGCATAATAAAGGTCTAAGATCCTTGCAGATAGTTCAAACTCTACTCTTTTAGATGAAACTTTACTCTTTTCAAAGTGCCGTTTTGTTTCAAAAACTACACCTCACGATTTGATCTCCACAAACTTTATTTGAGAAATATATCGCGACATGTTTCGCTAACCCAGTAACTTCATCAACAGTGATTTGAATATTACAAGTTGCTTCTTACGCTAATATTTATATAATACAGGTAACTACAATTGAGAAACTCCCTTAAATTACCTAAACCTCTACAACTTTTATATACCTGAGGCACTTCTTCAATTATGATTACCTGAAATATATTACCTAACTTCTACATCTTCTTCGTTTCCAAGTTCAATAATGGTGATCTATTCAAATCCAGTTGGTCATTCATTCTATGTGCAAAATTTCCAACTATTTCTTAAAGATATGATTTCCTTCTAAAACATGATTTGAATATGTTAAACATGTTTTCTTATTTGCATAGCTATTATTATGTTCCTGGATTCGATTCCTGAATGTTCGGCCAGTTTGACCAATATATACCTTAGGAGACGTTCCACACTTAATTTATATACTTCTGATTTCTCGAATTTGGATGTTTTGTCTTTATTATTTGTAAGTAACTTTTCCAACGTATTATTTGTTCTATATGCAATTTCAATATCACTAAGTAAATTGCAGTAAACAATGGGTTTGAACCTGAATTAATAGACAAAATACTTTCCAAAAAAGTCTACACAAACCGTTTCGAGACGTTTTTCGTATTGATAAGTGAGATAATATAAATTATAGAGCTTTAACGTATTTTGGACAAACAACAGAAAAAGTCGCTTCATTTTTGAGAAAACAAGATATTAAAATTGCATATAGAACAAGTAATACGTTGGGAGAGTTAGTTAAAAATAGTTAAGACAAAACATCCAAATCAGGAGAATATAAATTAAAGTGTGGAACGTTCCTAAGGTATATATTGGTTAAACTGGCAGAACATTTAGGAATCGAATCCAGGAACATCATATGAGCTATATCATATTTTTTACGAAGAATTCAAAATTTTACACATAGAAAATAATGGTTTCAAACTGAATCATTTGGAAGCAATGGAAATTAAAAAACTCAAAAATTGAAACATTCTAATGAATGACCAACTGGATTTGAATAGATCACCATTGACTTGTTTTCTTAAAAAACCAAGGAAGTATTATTATTGATGTAGAAGTAAGGTAATATGCTTCAGGTGATCATGAATGAAGAGGTACCTCAGGTATATAAAAAATGTATGTAAAAAAGTGAATATGTATGGATATGTTTGGAAAATATTTTTTATTATTGTTTTTTTTTTCAAGCACAACACTAAAACTATTTGATAAGAAAAATTTTAACATATATACATCAATTATACAAATGCAATCGAGAAACGAACACACATTGGCAACTACAATTACATCATATTTATTTGTAGTACTTGAAAAGTATAATATTGGGTGTGATGTAAAAAAGCTAAACAGAAGCATAAGACCATATTTGAATAACACATTGGCATATAACTTGAGAATTCAATTTTTTGAATATTATTCATTAGTTTTATTTCTCCAGTTCAATGAAGAAGACTATTGGTTTTCCTAACACAACAAAGGATTTCTAATTTGAAATAAATTCTATATCTGAACTGTTATTGGAATACCCATCCTAGATAGATTTGCAGGCAGAGGTGATAGATATTTTTCATCTAGAAACTTTCGTAGTAGACGTCAATTTGATGTTCATACGGGTAGGTTTCCTTTAATCTTCTTCAATCTCTGGAATCAACATGTATCGAAGTTAACCGATTATAACGAGAACACATCTCAACTCTAAGGTCACTTTTGTTCATAGAAATCTTTGACAGTATACGGCCAAAGTTTTCCATCATCTTTAGTTGCATCTGCATATGTTACCACTGTCACCAATTGAATCAGAAATACTGTATGGTGGTGATCGTTAGTCGACAAAGAATGTTTCCTTCGTATTTCCTGTTCGACTAATAGTTTTGAAGGCATGTTTCAGAACTGGCTCCCTTCTGAATTTTTTTTCATCCCAACCAAAGTCTTTTCGCAATTACTCTTGACGAAAACCGCAACTGGAAAATTCACTTACAGTTCAGTTTAGAATTCTCAATTAAGTTCTAGTTGAATCAAGGCTCAGGTATAAATTGCCTTGGAGTCACTCAGAATGAAGCGAAACATATATACATTATTAAAAAATGAACTTTGAGATATTTAGTCGAAATCTTCCGAAGTGAAATTCACTCATTCACTTTGTTAATGTCCAAGATAAGCGTATATATTTTCAAACATGAGAAGTATATTTTTCAACGTTGTTATATTAATGGAACCAACCTCAAACATGTCTGAAAGACAAATGTTTGTGAAAGAGAGAAACGATCAGATTGCGACACAACAACTTGTAGAAGTCTTGAACTTTGTTCGATTTTTCTCATGTACACGTATATGAGGTGAGGTGATTACTTCACTGACGTTATTAATTGTAAAAATTTAGTCCGAACTGAAAAAAGTCACTCAGTCGTGATATGTAATGAACACTTAACAAAAAATTGTGCATGTACTCGTATTTCTTCAGATGTGCTTCAATACAACAAATACTTTGCTAGCACTTCCAGTTAATCTAAAATGCTGATAACTGCTTGTGCTGGTTTGATTCTGTTGTTACCCAATCTTTTGACAGCTTTTGCTTTTACTTGGCAAATGTATCGCTTATTGGCTGTCTGTTTCGCTGCATTCCACCTGAAAATAATCAGTCAGACATGAACAAATAATAGAATTCATAAATTACTGGTTGTCTAATCTTGGATCCATGAAAATGCTGTTCCACGTCAAGTCCTTTATATTTCTTCGATACACACTGTCATTGAAACCTCTGTAATTTATTGGTTGTCCAGTCATAGCCCATCTCCATTTCGTACTTTTCCAGTCGTAGATTCCTCCAATCCATCTGTCATGTCTCTCTAAACAAATAATAAAGTATTGATACTAGGAAGTCATTGCTGTATTTGTAGGGTTGACTATGAATAATTACCAAGAAAGTCAATAGTTGAGAAATAAGGTGAATAGTAAAATAGACAGTAAAGGTGAAAAAGAAAGTGGAATATAATATATGAGATGATGGGAAAACAAAATAAAGAGTACAAAATAATGACCATGAGAAGTAACAAATATAAAAGGAGAAATGTGAAAATCGTATAAGAAACATGAATGTGAGAAATTAGAAGTAATATACAGGGGATATTCCAAGTAGAAAAATGAAATTAACGAATTGATAATGACTGTAAAGTTTTTAGAGAACAATTACAGTAAAGCAGAATATGAGCAATAATAGCATGCTATTATAATTCTGCTGCAGCAGAAATAGACAATCTGTTGATCAAGTATTCATAAAATCAATTTCGCAAGGATGCTTTGGCTAATCATGAGATGTGTTGATAAATAACCAGCGAGTTTGATTGTTTGTATTACAAAAAATGGATATGGAAATAATATAGCAGAAATCTATAAAAAGTGTATATCGTTGATGATCGTTTGAAAATTTTCAAGGACAAAACACAAGCACTACAGAAAAATCCCTAAGGCGCTCTAAAAGCGGTGCCTGTGCGAAATTAGCAATTCACATTGGATTTTAATCGCTGGATATTAAATTCATTTGGAAAAACATCCTCATGAAGTTCATTTCATATAAACGCAGTTCTCCAAATGAAAGAGTTCTTGGAAAGTGAACTTCGAGATGTACTGAGTTGAACTTCGAAACGATGAGCAGGTACTGATATGTACCAGTCTTGGTGGAATCAAATGTGCCAAGTCAATTGAACACTTCACGTGAAAGTATCTTTAGAAGGGAGACACATCTCCAAGCTTTCTTCGATGTTCCAGGCTATCAAGGTTGCAAGTGATGTTCCTGTCTCCTATCAGACGGATGGCTCTTTTCTGGATGGAATCCAGCAGCTTCAGGGTATGCTTAGGAGCAGAGCTCCATACATGAGAACAATACTCCAAAAAAGGTCTGATCTGAGCTTTATATAGCATCAAAAGTTGCTGAGGTGTGTACAGTTTTCAGGTTCGGAACAGTGTTCCAAGCTTTTGAGAAGCATTCTTTGCAATTCCAGCGACATGATTGTGCCGCGACATATTGGTGTCCATTTTAACCCCCAACAAACTTATCAAAACAGAAAGCGCCAGTGTTATATCCGGTTACAACTTTTCATACATTGAAGGGGTATATTTTCAGGAGAGATTAGTTTTTGGTAAAAAGCTTTTGATTTTCTGCTTTTTCATTTCGTTTTAATTCATTTTTATACATATACTTGTATTCTTGTATACAACGAGATGTACACAAATATGTATCTTAGAATCAACTGTTTTATGAGCGACTTGTGTACTTTGAGGTTATCACGTCTAGCTGAAATTGGGAGTTACCTTTCAAGTGAGGGATCGAAGGATTATTAAGAAAAACAACTAATGGTGGTCACTGCAGACACAACATTGATATGAAATGAGAGAAAAATATAGACAGATGTGATACCGATGAAAAGTCTAGAGAGAAATTCTGAAGAAGAAAAGAGTATCAGAAATCTGCAAATATATACGAGTACAACTAATCAAAAGAAAAAAAACATATATTTTGTTATTTTTGAAGTTTTCCACGGTACCACAGAGAAGCTGGAAAATGAAATAATATATTACAGAAACAGATGAAAAAACAAACGAAGATGGTGTTAGCGAATATGGAAAGAAAACTCCAGAGAAAAATACAGACAGATACAATACCGATGAGAAGTCTAGAGAGAAATGCTGAAGAAGAAAAGGATATCAGAAATCTTCAAATATATACGAATACAACTAATCAAAAGATAAAATGAACATATATTTTGTAATTTTCGAAGTGTTCCATGATACAATAGAGAAGCTGGAGAATGAAAAAATATATTAGAGAAACAGATGAAAAAAACAAACGAAGATGCTGTTAGCGAATATCGAAATAAAACTCCAGTTAATTGTGGAAATCAGTATATCTCCAATCTTGGAAACTATAACACGGACCTCTAATGAAGATTTCAGCCACTCATGCCGGCAAAACACTAGGAAGAAAGCAGCAAATAACACAAGGAAATCAGCTGAGCAATAAATGGTGCAACGTTAGAAAAAGCTCTATGTAATGCAAGGATATTCGTTAAAAAATAAGAAATGGATCTTTGAAGAACACATAGTATCATCAAGATGAAGAAGAATTCGGAAAATACATAGAAGTGACTATACTTACCAATGAAATTGTTCAAGAAACGTCTGAGATTATGATCCTGAGACCTGTTTCTTATTATAGCAAGTTTGCTTCCATTTTTCCTGCATTCAAAGAATGCTTTTTCCCATGTAGCCTCATTATCACTGAAGAAATAACACCTATTTCCCAGGCTAATCATGTTTGGCGGGCATATCCAACCATCTGCATTTCTTCTTCTCGTGGCTCTAGCTGGTTTCTTGACTAAAAATAATATTAAATTACATTCATCATTAACAAAAAAAAACATATGATTAATGCCTTTTTATTTAGTTTTTTTATACATAAAGTGATGATATACCTATTGAACCTAGTTTATCAAAATTAAGATGTAAACTCTTGTTGGACACTTAGCAACCATTCTTAACTTTACACAATCACTGTAAAGTTTCCTTTGGGATTGTTGGACTACGTTTTAAACGTGTGAAAAAACAACTCAAATCACCTAGTTTGCCTATACATATTTGCTACACGGAAAGATCTAAGATTCATTTAAAATCTTGATTCGTAAGTAGTGCAGCTCGGCAAATCTAGCTGTGCCTCTGAGATACGTGAACCATAAAAAGGGATGGTTACTGTTCACTACCAACTTTAATCATGAAGAACAATAGGAAAAAGAATTTCGGCTAGGATAAATTCGATAAGTGTTGACAACCACACATATACCATTCGATAATTGATTGATAATTGAATGCGTAGTTAATATAAATTATTATGAAACTCAACAGATGGATATCATCTACAAAACATGGCTTGCAATACCATTTCTCTATATACAAAGCTACAATTCGTTTCCAGTATACGAACAGTTTTCATCATGTTTTCTCTGGAAGATGTTTTTATAATGGCCTTCGGTTTTTTACAATCGAAAATTTTTTGCGAAAACCAAAAAAACAAGATACTGGATGAAATCAATGTTAGGAAGATGAATAGGTAGATTATGTCACGAACAAAATTATGGCAGGTTTCATAAATGATGACATGTACTTGGGGGTGTAACTATTGACAGCAAATTAAAATTCCAGGAACAGACTTCTCAAGTTATCAAAACAATAGCTCACAAAGTCAACTATTTGAGAAGATGTTCCCTATATATGAGCCAGTGGTCTTAATTATTAGTATACAACTCCATAATCCTTCCACATTTGAATTATTGTTCTATCATTCTGTTTTTTCTCAATCAAATTGAAATAAACAGACTACAAAAAATGCAGAATCGTGCTATGCAAATAATCTTACAATGTTGGAGGGTAATAGCGATAGCAAATATGTTGCAAACCCTTCAATGGATACCAGTGAAGAAACTCTTCGAGTACCAAATGATAATTTTTATTTTCAAAATCAAAATAGGATATTCACCTGTATATCTACAGAATAAAATAAAGAAGAGATTACAGTGATTATTGAAATTTTATTGTTGAAAGTGTATGCCTCAAAATATTTTCCATTTCTGTTGGGTTCGGCTGAATTAGTTAACCCTGTAGGTTTTTCCGCCGGCTACTAGATACGATATGAGAAGAAATCCCAAAAAAATATAGGTTCGAGATATTTTTGCCAGAATCGTTAAAAAGCTTAAAATAAATCGAAAACATGATTTTCTAAGAATAATCATCGCGGGTTTTTGCACAGATATAATCATTTGTAAGCAATGCCATTATCCTGGTTTGTAAAGTAAAGCTTAGTAAGTTCTGCTAATAATGACATATTGTTTTCCCCCATAAATATAATCAGAGAAATAAAGATTTGCACTGAGTCCGTTTATTTACAATAGGGAAATTATTCATCTGTTATGAAGTTGGAATTCGTAAGAGATGAAATCATCAAAAAGAAATTTCTTTTTCTGAGAAATCAATTGAACCATGTTTTTCGCAAATCAACGAGAAAATGTTAACGCAAAATGTTTTCTCGGTAAACTCTGTAGACCGTGAAAAATAGTAATGGCTGTTAAATAAAAGTATACCACTGTCAGTGTTGAATGTCTTTCACAAATTTTCAGAGAAATTTATTCAAAGTACTTCGAAAACTTTTTTGACAACTGAGTTGGAAACAATGCCCAGTCAGATTGTATGATTGTCATATACAGTTCAAAAAACACCAATTTTATAATACTTAGATACATAATAATGTCAAGAAATAAAAACTATACAACTTGAGACGTTTCGTTTACTTGAATGTGAACCAACAAAAAAGTGACCTTTTGCTTCAAAATTTTGCATTTCACAGCTATGTGATGGGCATGTAGGTGCCTATAACCAGATTGCATTTAGTGTTAGAATTACTGTCAGTTGTTTCAGCACTTTCGGTTTCTGGTTTCAAAATAAAGCAAGTACTATAAACCACACCTAGATCAACATTAGACACGATTTTAAATCTCATTTTGTCACTTTGAATGTTATCATACCCGGGAAGGTGAGAGAGGGACCTGGAAAATTCGGGAGTAGACCTAAACAAAAACTTCAGAATGTGTGGGGGATGACATATTAAGGAACCACGTGACACCGAAGTACACTTCCCTCACAAACTTAGAGCTAGTTACTAAGTACTTTTGCCACACCAGAACATAAATTACAGTAATATTTGTTCTGGTGTTTTGAAAGTGTTTTCAATAGATATAAACTTAGAGGTTAAATAGCAATTCAAAAAATACGAATGATGAACAGTCATTTCAAAAATACGTAATACCGGATTTGTAGACAGCTCGAAAAGCAAACCGAACGAGAGCTGGAATATTCTGTATTGTTACGTTTCAGTGAAGTGTTTGCAATATTGCAATGAGCAGGAACTATCTATTTGAAGCATTGACGAATTAGACAGACCATGATTCTTACAGACATCTATGCCACACTTGGTACATTGATGTACCTATATAAAAGTGATATCTGAACTGATTTGTGAATATGTGATGGAATTTGCCGATAATTGATGAAAATCCATTTTATTGTGAGATTTTCACTGGACAGTTTACAAAACCGCAACACGTGTTTCGCTCGAGAAAGCTATTTATTTATTATTCATACAAACCTTGCGGTTTAATTTCATGAATAAATAAGTAATTTAATAATCCGAAATAATAAAATACTAAGTCAAATGAAATTTACAATATTTAGAAAATGTAGACACCTAAACATTGTTATACCTACATATAACTATATTCTACAATATGTGAATTGTATGAGGACTGACACTCCTTTGTAAGTTTCTTATATATTATAAAAAGATTAAATGACTCAAAATTGATTTACGAAAGATTTTGATAGAGACTGTTCATTCAAGTTCCATCAGTGTGTTGAGTTGATTTGCAAGTCGAAACATGTTTACCGTAGATGATCTCGAAATGTTAAATGATGGAGGAATATGAAACATCGGAACCGGGCGCAGTCTTCTAACAGAAGTTCGGGGGAGTTTATTCTATTATTGATAATATTACATAAAAAATACCAAAACTGAGATTTGTCGTCTATTTTCAAGAGGTAATATCTTAAATTCATTCCTTAGAGTTGTGATCTTGTTGTCTTATAGTTAGGATATACGTGATGTTTTTTAAAGTATAATAGTCTTAAAAATTTATTTTGAATTTTTTCTGATCTATTCAAGTTTCTTTGAGATCCCGTGAACCAAATCAACGAACCAAACTCTAACCTCCTCTTAACCAAGCTATAGTACAGAAGTTTAAGCGTGTTGATATTATTAAAATTATACGATTGTCTTATTACAAAACCTAACATTTTATTGGCTGACTTCACTATGTTCTCAATATGTTTGTCAAATGAGAATGTGCTATTATAGGTAATATCTTAATCTTTGATTTCAGTGCAGCGTTTCACGCTTTGTACCCCCAATAAATAATTGAAAATACATGGTTGCTTGATACCCGTTATAGTTAAAACAGAGCATTTACTTATATTGGAATACAATTCATTCTCATAACTCCATTCGAATACCCTATCAATGTCCTTCTGTAACATAACACAATCTCTCACTGTTTCTATCTTACTTGATATTTTGGAGTCATTTGCGAATATAAGGCCTTCTGAGGGAATTCTGATGTTAATACTTAAGGTAAGTCATTAATAAAGATTACAAAAAAAACTTTGAGGTACTCCAGAATTTGCTTCAAATTTTCCCGATGTGTTTCCATTATTTTTAGTCATTATGTATCTGTTTTCTAAGTAACTTTTAAATAGGCAATTTCGGTTATAAGATAATCCAAAACTAATGAATTTCTCTAATAGTATGTCGTGATCAACTTTATCTTATGCCTTACTGAAATGCGTATATATATATATATTATGGAGCGAATAGCATTCTCGAGCGTTTTCATATGTACATCGCGCGAGAAAATAGATTCAAGCGGCCTCACAAGATGATGCGACTCGCGTAATAAAGAAAGTTCGCATTTGCGTGTTTATTTTATGCAGTAAATTAACTTGAAAGTTAAAGTAAAATTTTTGTTCTATGTTCTCTAAAGATTTAGGTTAGGTTGAAAGTGAGTGGGTCTATTCGATCCTCCACCGCAATCCGTAAGGCTTTATTGTGGCTCACACCTATTCAAACTCGACCGAATGAACCCAGCTTCTTAACGAAGCCGATTAGTTTATATGGTGAGTGATCTTTCAGGTCAGATGGTAAAAGTATGGTTCTACCAAACTCTGAAAACCTGATTCGGTCCACAGCGGAGCAGGCACAAATTATATGCTTTGCTGTTTTATCATTTTCCAAACAGAGGCGACACACACTGTCTTCCAACGCAGTCCGAGTTTCTGCATATGATGATTGAAGTCATATTTTTAATGCGATTAAAATCAATGTACTGTCTTGGCTCTTCTAGATTTCAGCGGGGCATTTGACACCATAAATCATGAGCTGTTATTAAAGTTCTTACACTACATTGGCTTGTCAAATGATACAGTTCTTTTTTTTTTTCGAAACTATCTACATAACATACGGCAGGAAGTTGGTCTTGATGAAGTTCATTTCACAGCTTTGAATTTAAAAACAGGTGTTCCACAATGATCAATTCTTGGCCCTCTCCTATTTACGATATACACTAGTCAATTAGTGAAATGCCTTCAGTATTGCAGTGTATATCTTTATGCCGATGACACCCAAATCTATCATTCTTTTGAACCGCACAGGGTAAATGACTAATAGGCGGATCAATCATGATCTCGACACATTTTTGTCTCTTGCTGAAAATGTGTGCTTAATGAATAATACATTTAAGTCGAAAATACTAATATTTGGTCAAAAAAATGCAGAGATATTGTAAAACAACAACTCAATATTAGTATAGGCTCCAATGTGATGGAAATTGTGAATGAAGCAAAAAATCTTGGGGTGACTACAGATAGTGATCTCAATGATTTCCAAAGTGATATACACTGTCCGCCACTCGCGATGGCCAACCCCATTCAGGAGGTAGGTGCATTTTGAGCATTTCTATCAGTCCTGAGAGTTTCATCGTTCCACCTCGAATATTACGGAAGATACAGGGGTGTTTCCATAAGAAGCGAGACAAATTCGGATTTTTCAGGACTGACATTTTTTCAGGAAAAAAGTGTAATCGTAGTAAGTTGGTAGTCCTGATCACGAATATGAATGGATTTTGAAACTATTTTGCCCCCTAATATGTTTTACCTTAAAAATGGGGTGTTCCATCGCGAGTGGCGGACAGTGAATATCACTTTGGCCAACCTCATTCAGGTGGTAGGTGCATTTTGAGCATTTCCATCAGTCCTGAGAGTTTCATCGTTCTACCTCGAATATTACGGAAGATACGGGGGTGTTTCCATGAGAAGTGAGACACATTGTATATGTTCTCACTCGATCGTTGGTATTCTATATAAATCGGTGGTACTTGAATTGAATAAGGCATTTATCCAGAGGCGGCCTTAGCCTATGTAGCGCCCTCTTGTATCAAAATGCGCCGTCAAAATGGATAAGGTTTTTACAGTACGTTCAAATAAACTCCGAACCTCGCCGGAATGCTTAGCTGTAAGGTTAATATCGTTGTTTTGTCACGAAACCAATTACAGTGAATATGGCGACAGAGAGAGATGAATTTGTTTTTCTGCCAGGAATTTTAAAAATCGGTTCAGGAAAATTGACATTTTTTGATAGATTGGCCTGTCGCCGTTCGTACACGAGTGAAAAATGATTTTTAGGAGAGAAGCGCTTACAAATAAAAAAGGAAAAGTTTGTAATTATTTCAAAATATTTAATTTAAAAACGAATTAAAATTCTTTTATGCTTTTTTGCTTTTACTTTTCGTGCTTTTGCATTAGCAGAATCTGTGATAGTTTCACTGACTTCAGTTTTTATTTCATGTTCAATATTGATAAATTTGTTGATTGACTTTGTGGCAGTATTGATCGTGTTGATTAAAGATAGTTTTTAATAATTTTCTATTGTGAAAATGATCTTTCACTGTGTGCTACTGTGACTGGCAATTTGAGGTAAATTCTAAGGGTTGTGGACAGATTCGAGGATGAATTGGTATACAAGTCATTTAAAATATCCAACGATAAGCGGCACAGCGCATGCTAAATGGGCTCTATGGGTATACGACGCTGTCAGCAAACGGCGGCATGTGACTTTCGCCCGTGAGTGATGCTTTGGAATTTTCTTAGAAAAAGCAGGAAACGAAGAAAAGTTACAGGGTACTCTGTGGATTCTGTCTATATAGAGGAAAGCTGATAAAACGGACCCTGAAGATTGAAGACAGGTAGTCATATCTTATGCAAATGAATAAAAAGGCAAGTATTTTGTAGTAATTTTCATCCAAAATACGACAAGAACCCAACAAAAAACAAATGAAGCGAATATAGTAAACAAGTTCAGATGATTCTCAAGCACCAATATCTGTTTTGGGAATGAGAAGGGCTGAATTTGTTGAAACTACTCATTTCCCACCTTTTGAAAGATATTTTTTGAATACACTGACCCGTTATTTGGTGAAAATCAATAACACAATTCATGATAATAATAACTACTAATTTTCACAATATATACTTTATTTTCAATACAACAGTAGTTTCCTCGTTTGGACTGATAGATACTACCCCATTGAACATACTAAGTCAGATACACTCCCCAAATAAAACAATATCATAAAAATTTCGACTCTGGTTTGACTTTTTTTTAGTTTGAGGAAGAAAACTTTTTCTTCTGATACGACCACCTTGATTGACATTGATTTGGATATACTCTGGCCCAAACATGTGAGGAAACAACTTCCGTATTGTAATTCATTACTTCTCAAGGTGTACTGATAATATTGTCTAATGTTCAAACAATTGTATTTTCACACATCATCGATAGATGACCTTCACTTTTTCTATTGGCCAAACAACTACCTCATTTTAATGAAAAAATTAAGCGAACACTACCGTGCATGTCGAATGCATTTCGTAAGTTTGGCGCTATAAATAGTTATAAATAGTTCAAGGTGATCATAATTTTTAAAAGATAGTCCTGAACTGTGTTTAGCAATGAAGGTTATTTCATGTTTGTCAAGTGTCATCGCTAATTTATTAAGGGGCATTCCAGTTAATAATAAATATTTGAATACTCGTTTGTTCAAATATTCTACGACAGTCGAGTCATATTCAGGATTAGGTTTATATCATCAATTTTAAGAAAAAACCAAATGACCTAGGTCATTTAGCGCAGTCCTGAACTATTTTCGTTGAAAATGAATCCCAATCTAAAATTAACCTCAACGTTTTTAAACATAGTGTTTGTAATATTTAGGTAAAAAGTGAAATTTATAATTGTGAAAAATGTCCTCATCCAAACTCTGTCAACGATAACTTCAGAACTTTTCCATGAAATTAATTTTTTGAGTTGTACCATGGTGGTGCCAGAAGTACCTGGCCTGACCTAGAGATGACGATAGTTGTTTGAAAAATAACACTATATTAGAAAGTACAGAATATATAAAGCATACGTTTGAAGTTTGAAGACGCTGCGTTGTTTATTGTTTGTTTGGCAGCAATAGCGAACGTTTTCGACGAATTTTTGGAAATGGAGAAAATTGGCCGTCATTATGTGGTACAATACTTTTATTTGAAAGGTCACAGCCCAACCAATATACTAGCTGCCAAGACGAGCATCGCGGTGGTCGACCAAATGAAGTGACGACTCCAGAAATGGTGAAGAAAATCAACAAAGCGGTACTGAATGATCGTCGACTGAAAGTGTGCGAACTAGCAGACTAAGTAGGCTTTCTTATTAGTCAGTGGGCTATGCTTGAAGACAGACAGTGAACAAATTACGACCACCGTCGTAAGTTACTTTCGCCAAAGGGCCGTATGTTCAAATGTTTTCATTTCAAAATTGGAAAATATTTTCTGATCACTGCTCTTTATGAGTATTTCAATGACTTCTCTTTGGATCGAATGTCTATTATCAAAATCAAAAGATACGACTTCAAATATAATGCTTCTACATAATAATTTGTAGGTAAATTTTCTATTTATGTATTCATTTCACAACTAGAGATACAAACAGAATGAACCCAATAATAAATAAAATAGGGAGTGAATAAATAGTAAATAAACGCAAAACATTTAATACTTCACCATCATTGCAATTACTGCTGAATGTTGTGATAATTCTAATGATTTTCACCTGAGTTGGTTTTTCAATTTATTTCAAGCATATCCTATAGTTTGCTGATGAATTGTCGAATCCAAATGACAGATGCCAAGTTCAAACGACTACAAATGAAAGAAAAGTATAGATACAACAAATTTCTTGAGTTGTTGTGTATTTGTGTATTTCTGATATTGAATATCAATAAAGAATTCATTTTGCAATCCATTGTTACTCTGAAATCAATTTCTCAAAGTCCTAGTTATATACGGTAAGAATAGTCCCAAATGATATCCCTGTGGTATACCTAATGTAACTGCAAATGTCAGAGTAACGGTAACATATATCTGACCATATCCAAATCAGAATATGTTGACCTGCATCAATATCATCAAGTCTTTCGATTAGCAAAGTATGACTACATTATAGAAAGCCTGAAATAATTTAAATCCCTTCCACTTGCAGCCGATTGTTCATTTCTTTAACAATATGTGGACTAACTCTATTAGATTTGTACCTAGGGATCCACAGGTAAAAAAGTCGTATTGTTCTATCTCATTATTTTCCTTAACATCTGAAATAATGTCATGTTTTTCGAAATTATACAGTTCATTACTGCTGAAGGAGTTACGATTATGTTTACATTTTGCACTGAATCGGCCCCTTGAAGAAGTCTGAATTATTTTGGAGAACAGAACTTGGCACTTACAAAACAATTATATACCAAACTTTCACTTTCCCTTTAAAGAAGTTGCCAGAATAGGAATCAATGGGATCGTTCATACACCACACTTTTATTTTAATTACCCCATCGAAAGTTCTGTTGGTGAATAATTTAATAATGAGTAATGAATACCAAACATACCAAAAAAACGTGTAGCTATCAATGAGAGTTTGACAACTTTTGAATTTTCTGAAACTTTCCATAATTGAAGAACTATGACGAGAACAATCGATACGAATAAATTCAATGCCAGATATTATTATTGCCAATTTTAATCAAAATATTGTTTTGGACCATCATTTGTGTAATGGCTCACCAAAATTTTCAGGGCCTTTTTTTCCAATGTCACCTAGCATTTTCAGACATTTTCTTTTCTCATATTTTTCCAACCTCTCTCCACTGGAACATTTGGAAATATCGAATCTCCTCTTCTTCTTATTGTATATATTGAACTGAACCACCACGTTGGTATCTGTCTCGCACATGAACATTTTATTATCAGTGCATTTTCTTGGGAACCACCTGTGACAAAATAGATGAATTAGAATAAAACTACATAAAGGGTAGAACGAAAAAATTACTTGTTACGTTTGGCACCATTTAGAGCTATACATTTCCATTTATAGTCATCTCCTAAATGCTTTCTCGAAAAAGCATTGAAAGTAATATGTTTTCCACTGGAACCCCATTTCCAAGTCCTCTCTTTCCAGTCATATATTCCATCAATCCAACGTTCAGTTAGAGCTGAAATACAAAACAAATAGTAGAGGAGTATTATGAAAAATTATAAAGAATCAAGATAAGTTGAACATGCTCAAAAACCAAAGAAGGCTCAGGATGTGGAGTGTACTCCAGCCTAAGCCTAAGGATTAAGTGGGGGATGGGAAAAATACTATTATACTTATTAAAGACACCAAGGTATAGTTCATATCCTGATAACGCCAACTTGGTCGATAAAACGCGCGAGAAAAATGTTGTAGTGTGGTTGTAGTATACTTCTAGTGTATAGGAGTTGCCTGGGACACCAAAGTAGTTTTTCCAAAAGTCAAGATACCAATTGTTATATAGAGGAGACAATTGGGAGTAGTGAGCATGGAAAATAATGGGTGATTATTTATGGTATAGAGATATAGAGGTATAGAGCAATACAAAAAAATTGATGAAATCTTAATTGGAATCGAAAGAACGATCAATATAATTTATTGTTTGAAGATGATTTCATGCAAATGTTGTCCGTGGCTCCGATTTAGATGACCCATGCGCAAGGTCCAATTTTGGCACACTCTCTCTATCATATCGACCGGTATTTCACGTATAAATGCTTCAATATTGGCTTCAGAGCGTCAGTCGTTGCTGGTGTATCCCTCTAGATATGAGCCTTAACATGACCCCACAAGAAATAATCCAAAGGCGTTAAATTACACGATCTAGGCGGCCAATTGACAGGCCCCAAACGGGAGATAAACTGTTCACCGAAGGCGGCTCTTAATTGGGTCATTGTTTTGCGTGCCGTGTGGCATGCGGCACCTTCTTGTTGAAACCACATGTCAGGTATGTCCAATTCTTCCTTTTTGGACAACAAAAAGTTGTCAATCATCACACGGTAGCGCTCGCCATTCACAGTAACGTTCCGGCCATTGTCGTCTTTGAAGAAATACGGCCCGATGATGCCACCGACCCATAATCCACCAAACAGTGACTTGTTAACGTATCCAGTAACGTTAACGTAACAGTAACGTTAACGTGCTTGTTAACGTATCCATTCAACCAGAAAAGAGCCTCGTCGCTGAACACAATTTCTCAATAAAAATGTGAATCTTCCTCAAACTTTGCCAGCGCCCATTCACCAAATGTTAGACGTTGTGGGAGGTCGTGTGGCTTCAATTTTTGCACCAGCTGTATCTTATAAGGTTTTACACCCGAATCCTTTCGCAAAATTTTCCACGTTATGGAGTAACAGAGGCCCAATTGCTGCGAACGGCGGCGAATCGACATTTCACGGTCATCACGAACACTGGCGGATACAGCCGCAATATTTTCTTCGGTCCTCACTCTACGTATGCGAACTGGGTTCGAAATTAAGTCACAAGCTTCCGAATAGCTCCCTCAGTAGGCCGACAAAACTGCCCATAAATTGGAAGAAGTGCACGATGCACTTTCAATAATTCAAGCGTTGTTCATTCGTAAGTCGATTCATCGGGAAATTATAGACCAAACTGAACAAGTTTGACAATGGAAACAGACACGATTCACGCGTGATCTGTCAAAAACAGTGTTGCCAAAAAGTTACCAGCAAAAAAATCACTCATTACTTACGTATTGTCGTTTTGTTGCTGCAGCTGAGGAAGTCTTTCAATAAATTTTGTTCCCTATAAGAATTAATAACTGATAAGGTACTATTTAATACTTGGCAGTGGAAGTGGGCATCCGTCCATTTGGCTTCTTGTGTACTGAAGTGGTAACACTTTTTTCCAACCGAATGAAAGTTTTCCGGACACAAGTATGTGGTTTGGACGGTTTGTGACTTTGTAGCGTGAACTGCAACAACAAGAATGAAAAAATCGTTAATGCTCAGAAGAGTGTGTCAACAATAATGATATGCATTTATTATACAGGTTGTGTTTATATTCATCGACCTTAAAAACACTTTAAAAATGATACATAAATGGAAATATCATGATTTATAATGGAGTTGGTTATTACTTGATGAAAGTTTGTAACGAATGAAAGCAAAGCTTTATTGTAAGACTGGCGACACGCCCCGGCTCCGCAAGGGTACAATGTTGACACTACATATAAATTCACCCACCGAAAATTCAAGAGAAACAACGGTGGAAAAATGTTTTTTGTTTTATGGACGCGCCATTTTCCCTCGCGTCTGGCGCCCCACTTGAAATATTTGAAAATTTTTTCTTATCGCACATTTACAACGTGATGCAAACCAACATACAAAATTCCAGCCTCCGAAAATATAGCGGTACAGAGAAATAATGATGAAAAAGTAATTTTCATATGTAAACGCGCCTCTTTCATTCCCAGTGGGGGCGGCCCAATTGAAATATTTGAAAATCGTTTTCAATTACACATCTACAATATAAAATGAACCTCCATACAAAATTTCAGTGATGAAAAGGTAATTTTCATATGTAAACACGTCCTTTTTATCCCCAAAGGGGGACCCCAGTTTATTGCACATGTACAGCATAAACTGAACCCTTCATACAACATTTTAGCCTCCGAAAATGTAGCGATATGAAGAAACAATGATGAAAAGTAATTTTCATATGAAAACGCTCCCCTTTTACCCCCATGGGGGGCGTCCCAGGTGGAATATTTGAAAATCCTTTTTATTTTTCCCAAGCCTTGAGAAAACACTGCAGGCTCATGGACTTATTGCTTTTTCCTTCCTACTCATGCATGTGAGTAACTCCGATGCCTGACAGTTTTTCCATCTGAGAAAATTAATGAAAGAAAATTCAACTATGCGATTGAAATATGGTTGAAACTGATTTTCTGTTGACTAACTGTTGTTCCCATGCAAATGAGAACCCTCAAGAATTAAAACTTGTGCAAGCTGAGAATTAATGAGGTCCTCACTTTTTGGTGAGATCACACGACATGTAGTGAAAACCCATTTCAGAGCACTGATCGATTCTCACAGTAACCAACCGGTTACTAATGACTAATCTGCTGATTTTGTTGACACTCCATACTTTTTATGATTGCAATGGATAATCTAAGGTGTGGTTAGAATAATGTAGACGAATAAATTGAAACTGGTGATCCTAAGCTATTGAAATAATTCAGTTATTTCTATTACATATCTTACGTCACTTGATACTCTTGATAACTTGATATTATTGCTTAATCGGTTGTAAAATTCCAATATCAAATGCCCATAATACTGTAATAAATAATACAAGGCCTGGTGCATATAACTGCCTATTTATCAATTATTATTATCGAATAAAAAATAATGCGAGACTTGATATCCTCAGTCGTGACAAATAAGGCTTTTGTTTCTTATTTATATCGATAAGTACGTCGTCTTTCATAGAGTGCATTTACGATATTAGTAATAATATGACAGTAATTTCATTTCATTGAAAATCAAGAATTATTACGACAATTATTATGGATTAGTGGTGGATAATAATTTGAAATTTTCAGCACAGCAGATGTAGGTTGATTCTTGATGAAAGCCAATTAGACATATTTCCAAAAATACAGAGAATTGAAATTTAGTCATTAATAAGGATTTATTGGTTCTGTTTATTTTTGTTTAACCTTCACTACCAAAGAAGTAACCCCTATTTTGAATGGAACTTTTGTATTATTAATAAATTTATATTTAGGATTCTATAGTTTGAGGTCTACTATTAGCGAACCGCCCCGTCTCCGCACGGGTGCAATGCTGATACTAAATATAAATTCACCCGCAGGAAATTTCAGAAACATTGATGAAAAGATAATTTTGTGCCTCTTCCTCCGCAGCTCCGTCTCCATAGTGGGAATGGCACTTTGAAAAAAGACCTCCTTGATCCTTAGCTCGCCTTGATGGTTTCCACCTGATCAGTAAGGTGTTTCGCTTATGTAATGATTTAATAATGCACGTCAGTCAAAGAAGGCAAAGTTATTTCTGTTTTTTGAGCACTCTATAAAACGTAGGGAAATGGTTTGAAGTGGTTTAACCGCTGGTGATCCGTTTTATAGACTTAGTTCTTACCGCAGCGATCTATGATAGGTAGATTGGCGTGAAGTTATCCACAGATTTCTGGCCACACATGTTGACGTAGAGGAAAATAAAAATCTGTGGTTGGGATACGAAATTATTAGCACCCGTACTAATATCTGTGGCTGGAAATACCTATTCACTATAGGTTGAACGTGAAATTATTGAGACTCTTTGGTGTTTAACTTTTTTATAGAATCTTGACTAGATTGACGCGTCGATAATCGTTTTCTCATCAACAATACAGATTTAGGGAATAATAAAATTCTAAATATTAGACTTACTTTCCAATAACCCATATAGAAATGATATCAGATGATGTGCGTCCATCAAAATCACACAACTTCTATAGTTTCTTGAGAATATTAACTTGGTGATGACAGTTTTCTTGTCATCTAAACAGATTTCGAAAAAGAAATTGTTGAAACAATCAGACTCATTTTTAAGATTCCTTGTATTCATGAAAATCACACAACTCTTATAGAATCTTGGGTAGATCGATAAAGTGAAAACTGTTTTCTTGTCACCCATACAGATTTTGAGAAAAAAATTGTTGCAACAATCAGACTCACTTTTTAAAACACCTTGTAGAATTGGAACCAGAAAATGTGCGTTCATGAAAATTACACAACTGTTATAGAATCTTGGGTAGATCAATATAGTGAAAACCGTTTTCTTGTCACCCATACAGATTTCGAGAGAAAAATTGTTGCAACAATCCGACTCACTTTTTAAAACACCTTGTAGAATTGGAACCAGAAGATGTGCGTTCATGAAAATTATTCTGATTGTTTCAACAATTTCTTTTTTGAAATCTGTTTAGATGACAAGAAAACTGTCATCACCAAGTTAATCTACTCAAGAAACTATGGAAGTTGTGTGATTTTGATGGACGCACATCATCGGATGTCATTTTTATATGGGGTATTGGAAAGTAAGTCTAATATTTCCAATTTTATTTTTCCCTAAATTTGTATTGTTGATGAGAAAACAATTATCAACGCGTCAATCTACTCAAGATTCTATAAAAAAGTTTTACACCAAATAGTCCTAATAATTTCACGTTCAACCTATAGTGAATGGTTATTTCCAGCCACAGATATTAGTGCGGGTGCTAATAATTTCGTATCCCAACCACAGATTTTTATTTTCCTCTACGTCAGTATGTGTGGCCAGAAATCTGTGGATAACTTTACGCCAATGATAAGTAGACGCCTTCAAAAAATCAAAACACTGACAAATTATTTTCTTTGATGGTCATTTGTACTTTTTACTCCACTAATAGTATTTTACAATCTAATATTATCACCTGTCTATTGGAAAAATTGAAACATTTCACCAATATTTGTTTTTAAACAACTCAACTGTGAATTAGTCTCTTTCTCTAACATCTCAGCTGGCTGGGTACAAAAGATATAACAAAAGTATTGTTATTATATCTTTTAACGTTTTTCATCTTTGCGCTATTCCATGTTCTGATAACTGGCAAAAACTCATTTATATCAATAGGCAAAATTACATAATTCTTAATTTTTATTTGAAGGTGGTTGACAATATTTCGTGGTGATTTTCATCAGTTGGGACTTTCATTGTCTGAAAGAATTAATATACAGGGGATCATACAGAGGATGAGCATCATACAGAGGAAGCTATCCGAAGACGGGGATCTGGAAGATAGAACGAACTTACCTATAGAAGTAATCATGGGATTACTAGAATGATTTGTAAGATACTGCTATTTCCAACTGATGGACGAATTCTTTACGCAAGATGAGGGACTGCCAATGGGATCGCCACTTTCACCTGATACAGCCAACATACATATGAAGTGGTTTGAAAGAAGTCTTGAGTCATGGGAATACAGAAGTAGATACCTTCTTGAAGAACATCAACAGCTTAAGACCTTTCATCATTTTTACAATAGAGAAGGAAATCCACAACGAATTGCCATTCTTAGACGTATTGGTGAAGAGGACCGACATTAAGTAGAAAACATCTATATTCCGAAAATACACTTATACGGAACAGTATCTGAATCACGAATCCAATAAACATCAATCGATTGAAAGGGAAATCATCGAGACTCTAGTAGACCGTACTTTTGGGTTCTGTAATGCGAAGGAAAATCTCGAGAAGGAACTAGGCATCGCAATAATTTTGGCTAAAAGACATCAAGAGCCTCGCAAGAAAGAAAAGTCAGTAATTAATTTAAAATGGAAGTTATGAATGGTTTTCATGAAAGACGATCTCTTAGTTTACATACTTATATATAAGTAACCTTCACACTCTCATTATAGCTACATCGACCTCAAACTTAACCTCCTTAAAAGTAACATATAATTACTTGTTTGTTGCACATAATAAAAGTAAATAACATTTGCATTAAGCAACTAGGAATGTGAGTTCGTGAAATAGCTGTTGAACGTATATCTTTCGACATATCTGAAATTATGTAGAAAATTTTTAGTGAGGGCAAAATGCTCATGAATTTGTCAATGCTACTTTCTCAGTTGGCAAGCGAAAACAATTGCACGAAAGCTAATTACATTGTATTCATTTAAGATTATTGAACTATACTTAACAGTTTGAAAGTGAGAGAAAATGCTATTGTCAAGTCCTATTAAAAATATAGCGAGTTGTCCAGAATTCAGAATACTGTTATGAAGCAGGAAACAAACATCAGAAGTGTGTATTTTCACATTTGTGTGTGAACTCATAGAAGTTTGATACGAATAATGGCTGAAAATCTGACATTTCAATGAAAAAATGTAATAGAAACATTTTTAAACCGGCAAATTGTTAGTAA